GGACTGTGAGCCTGTCACTTCCCTCTCCCGGTGGAGGCATGAGGTTACTAGTAAATCAACGCATCTAGTTAGTGCTGCGTTTAACTTTATTTTTTATTTTTATTGATTTCAGAGAGGAAGGGAAAGGCAGGGAGAGACAGAGACATCGATGATGAGAGAGAATCATTGATTGGCTGCCTTCTGCACGCCCCCCCCCCACCCCCCCTGGGGATTGAGCCCACAACCCGGGCATGTACCCTGACCGAGAATTGAACCGTGACCTCCTGGTTCAAGGCTAATGCTCACCCAATGAGCCACGCTGGCGGGGCTGAGTTTAACTTTAAAACACCTCCCGTTCCCCCCCCCCCCAAAAAACAATCTTCAATCAAGTGATGGCTAAGTAGGCGCCAAGGACTGAGCTGGTGTTTTCCAAGCGTGACCCCCAGTGCACCGCCCAGCCGGCCGCCCAGCGCTGACTCGCCCGGGACTGCAAGGCAGGCTCTGTACCCCTGTTCCCACCTCCCTGGTGTGGCCTTCGGGGCCTCCCGCCTAATAAGAAGCAGAGTCCCCCATAAAGGCCTCAGACCTTGGCTTTTGTCCTCCCAAGCCTCCCCCCTCAGGGCAAAGAGCCTCAGGGCAGACACGGGCTCCTGCCACCCCATGGGAACCAGGCCCACAGGTTCCCCACGACCCTGGCGACTGTTCGGGGCTTGAACATGATTTTAAAAATGATTTTCAAATCCCAAAGTGCACTTGTTTGGAGAGAGAGTCGGTCCAGATGACCAGGCCGGCACTGCTGGGCGGGCGGCGGGCCTGCTATCCACTCACTGGTCTAGTCACTCTCCACGCACTGACTTATGTCCAGGTTCGGAGGTTAAGCAGCTCAGAGTCTTGACCCGTCGTCCCTCCTACTCCGAGGGACCCCTCACCTGCACAGGGATTTTGGAGCACAGCCCCCGGGCCCCCCTTTAAGGGAGAGGAAAGAGGTCCCTGCCTGCTTCCTGGGTAGAGGGTCCGTGCCTGGAGCTCCCACTGGCGTGGCTGCCTGAGAGGTCGCGGGGCGTGCCCACTGTGCCGGGTGCTGTGTGGGCACTGTTCAGGCCCAGGCAGCCTGCAGGCAGCGCGCCTCTCCCTGCTCCCGGCTGTGGAAACTGAGGCTGGAGGC